TCATATTTTTTGATAATTTCTGAAATACTTTAATTACTAGTTCATCATCAAATAATTCTCTTCAATTTACTAACGACTTTAGCAGTGTTAGTTTGATTATTTTGACGAAATGATGAAGTTAAGGGACATGATTTCAGGAGACCAGTACCACGACCAGCTACCAGCAGTGTTTTATTTGCCAAAACACTATACAACTATACCGCCAATAAAGACCACGGCCCAGCATTCAGTGTTGAACCATTACTGCAGGTAAGCTGAAGCAGATTTGCTCTGACAAAAATGCTTGGCTATGGAAATAAGAAAAATAAATTGTTTCGACAAAAAATATTAAAAAAAAATACCTAAATAATTATAACATTTTAAATTGGTAAAAAAATCAAAATAAAAACGAATTTTTCTCTTCACTTTATGCGTTCTCTTCCTTTGAAGCAGAAGTACTCTTTGAGTGACACTTTTGTTACCAACAGCATCTACGTCAACGGTCTGCGGCTAATTTCTGTAACTTTTTTCGGACTGCAGATGCTTAATTTTTGTAAAAAACACGTTTACTGTAGGTAATAATTCACATTCCCAGCTTTTTAATTTGCGGACTGAAAAATTTGGGCTCACGAAGAGCAGTGGCATTTCGAAGCGTCTTTTTCAACGCTAATATAAAATACGCTGTTTTTAGTATCATTATATTACCAGTTCTGTTGTACAGAAGTGAAAGTTTGAATACTATGGCTGTTGAGGAGAAAAAATTAGTAATAACCCATTGAGCGGCTCATGGCAGGCGTCAACAAGTTGCAGTACACCTCCAAAGTGCTATGCCTCCGAAATTATGTAAGTGTTGTCATCAAAGAAGTGTGTCGTGAAGAATGGCTAGGCTGGTCATTAGAGCAGTGAGGAAAGATAATATACGCATGAATATTTGAGTGTTTGCAGATATCCGTTTCGATCAACGATATGCATGTACCCAGATGTTGTAAGGTGCCGACCCGGAAAAATTCACTTGGAAACATATGAATGGAATTTCACGGTATCACGATCAAATCTGCAACACCACATCACTGATCTAAATAATATTCACGAGTATGATTGGCGCACGATAGTTTATAATACAGACTTCTTCGGGAGTTTTTTTATCAAGGTCCGCTAATATTTGTCGATACTTAAAATTCTTCGCATTGAAATCTTGTGGAAACTGTGGATTCTAGACCATTTTTTGACTCAAGCCGTTAGCCCAAATCGACTTTTTTAAAAACCAACACCTCTGGGACATGTTGGTTCACGATTGATCGACATGCCAGGCAGAAAGATATGCATTTGCCGTGAAAGTTTCAGACATTCCTTAGAAGATGCAAAAAAGTATCGACATCATTCGCCAGATGGTGTTCTTTGCTGACATGAGTAGGCGGTCTTGGGAACCAGAAAAGCTAGAAAGCTGAAATTTTGAGGGGATTTTCCCTGACCAAGTACCACGTAATTACATAATTAGTTTCTTGAGTTTCGAGCGCCAGTATGCCACAAATCCTAGCTTTGATCTTCTGGTGTAGGAGCAGACTTACAGTTTCCAGCTGGTGAATCTCAGGCCCGCTGAATTTATTAATTCAAAAATGTCGGCTAGTTTAAGGCTTTCGATTAATTTTATGAATTTTGATTCGATTACTTTTAAGGCTGATGCCAAATTTGCGTCGATTTCTGGATCTGCACTTCTTCTATTGCCATTGTTTACTGGTAGCGTTTGCGGTATCAACATTCCATCGACGCTTAAATCCCCAACGAAAGATATACCGCCTGGAATACTCAGCAGTCTTGCAGCAGTGTTTATTGTAAGTTTTTCGGTGAATTTTTATATGCATCAGTTTCTGGCTGAATGGATTCATAGCAGCAGTGTTGAGGAAAAAGTGCTGTTTTACAAAATCCTCGGAGAACGCGTCTTTCTACCCGCTTGCATTTATTTGGCGCTAAAATTATCACTGTTGTTACTACACAAGCAATTCATGGAAGAGTGTGCCATGAACAAAGGTGCCGGTGCGTTTTTGATGTAGGTACCCCGCAACGCGGACTGTTTTCAAGTACCCTCACTTCTTGTTGAGGAAAAATTACGGATAGAATTTTGATTTTGGTGATAAATTTATGCTGTTGC